GTTCAGGCAGACAGGCAGAGTGGTTAGGGGCAATCAGGCAGGCAGACGAGTGGTTAGGGGTGTTCAGGCAGACAGGCAGAGTGGTTAGGGGCAATCAGGCAGGCAGACAGAGGCAGTTAGGTGTGATCAGGCAGGCAGGCAAGCAGTTAGGGGCCATCAGGCAGGCAGGCAGGCAGGCGAGTGGTTAGGGGTGATAAGGCAGGCAGGCAGGCAAGAAGTTAGGGGCGATGAGGCAGGCAGGCAAGCAGTTAGGGGCGATGAGGCAGGCAGGCAAGTGGTTAGGGGTGATCAGGCAGGCAGGGGCAATTAGGGGCGATCAGGCAGGCGAGTGGTTAGGGGTGATCAGGCAGGCAGGCAGGCAAGCAGTTAGGGGCAATGAGGCAGGCAGGCAGGTGAATGGTTAGGGGCGATCAGGCAGGCAGAGTGTTTAGGGGCAATCAGGCAGGCAGGACAGCGATTATGGACTATCAAGCAGGCAGGTGAGCAGTTAAGGGCATCAGGCAGGCAGGCAGAGTGGTTAGGGATGATCAGACAGGCAGGCAGAATGGATACGGGCGATCAGGCAGGCAGGTGAGTGGTTAGGGGCGATCAGGCAGGCAGGCAAGTGGTTAAGGGTGATCAGGCAGGCAGGTGAGCGGTTAGGAGCCAGCAGTCCCAGATTGCGACAGGGATATCCGACTGCCAGTTTAGGCCCGCAGGATCGAGCCTAAACCGGCAGTCAGACATCCCCCGAGGGGTCCCGGATTGCGAGAGGGTGCAGGCCGGGCTGAGGAACCCTCCCCTCCTCCCCGTGCATGAATTTCATGCACCGGGCCTCTAGTTATTCAAAATAGTCAAAAAGTGGAAACAACCAAAATGTCCATCAACTGATAAATGAATAAGTACAATGTGGTATACACACACAGACATATTATTAGACAATAAAAAGGAATGAAGTCCTGATACATGACATAATGTGGATGAGCCTTGAAAGCATTATATGTTAAGTGAAAGAAGCCAGTCACAAAAGAGCTTATAATGTACAATTCCACTTATGCTAGAGGCCTGGTGCATGAATTTGTGCACAGGTGGGGTCCAGCCGGGGGTAGGGACCACGGGAGGTTGGCTGGCCAGCCCCGCCCCAGATCGGGCCGGTTGGCCAGCTGCAGTGCATGTCATAGCAACCAGTCGTTCCAGTCGCTTGGATTTTATATATATAGATGAAAGGTATAGAACAGGCAAATCCATAGAGACAGAAAACAGATTACTGGCTGCCTACAGTGGGAGTGCTGAAAAAAAAAGTGGCAGAGTTTCCTTCTGGATTATGAATATGTTCTAAAACTGATTGCTGCAATGGTTACACAGCTCCATGAATATGCTAAAATGATTGATTTCTACACTTTTAATGTATATATACACACATATAAAAAAACAAACAAAAAAAGCTTTGGGGGCTACGTCACGCAGCGAGTGACAGGATGGCAACAAGCCATACCAATAGTGAAAGTGAAGAATAGCAAAGCCTTTTCTTACTCACACCTCATGCTCCTTTTCCTCCACTTCAAATCTGCACATATATATTTTAAAAAACCAATTAGCTAATTTCCACAATGAAAAATTCCCAACATGACAGAGTTTTCAATATTAAGCATAGCTCTTTGGATCTAACAAAGGCTTGCTATTTTCTTGTGTCTTGTTTTTCTAAAGTATACCAGGAATCTTTAACTATAATTATAACACAATCATTCTTATTAAAGGTTTCCAAATAGAACTAGCTTAATTAAAATATACTTCATCCTATTATTTTCAGAGATAGAACGCCTACATTATGCCAGGTTTTATGCTGGTTATTTCCACGTTATGTCATTTCACTATTGCAACAATCATGAAAGACGCTATATCAACTTTAAAGAAGAGAAAACTGTATCTGGAGGTCATGGCTCACCCAAGGTCATTCAGGCAAGGTCAGTGGTGAAACTGAACACCTGATTTCAAGTTTAGTGATCATTATAAAAATATTAAGTGCACCCTGCTAGACTCAAGACCCTCACATCTCTTAAAACATAAGTATTTTTGCCTGGGCCAGTGTGGCTCAGTGGTTGAGGGTGTCAACCTATGACCAGGAGGTCACGGTTGGATTCCCAGTCAGGGCACATGCCTGCGCTGTGGGCTCAGTCCCCACTGGGGGGGACGTGCAAAAGGCAGCTGATGATTCTCTCTCATCATTGATGTTTCTTCTCTCTCTCCCTCTCTCTTCCTCTCTGAAATCAATAAATATACGGTGTTTTTTTAA